GGGGGGGGGACAAGAATACGAATGAAAGCAGATCTTGTCAAAAGAAAAAGAGAAGCAGAAATAATTACACTCAATAGGCTTTACAAACTCCTGGGAATGCAACATCAAAGGAAATTGCGATCCTAACTGAAATGCTGATATAAGATTCGAATTCCACTGAGAGTTACCTAAACTACACTTGAATCGTGTCTTTGCCAAAATAAGAGAGTGGCTGTGTTCATCAAATTCAACCTGAATGTTTATTAACTATGACAACCTGTCCTCTGATGATATATCTAAAGAAAAAATAACCAGAAGAGCCCTTGTATTACTTGGATTACGTTGCTGAAAAAATATATTTTCCCATGAGATCTGCCAGGTATTTATTAGCTGATGTTGTACTGATTTAAGTGTGAATCAATGTAATTTTCATTCGATTTTGGAGCGTTAATAACTACCGCATCTCACATTAATTTGATATTTTGAATATTTAAATACCTGAAGCTTTTAAGGAGGCTTGATTTCAACTCCCAACCCTGTGTAAAAAACGTAGTTACCTCAGTTACAGCAATTTTAAATTGTACCTAAGCCTTTGAGCTGCCATCGATGCAAGTGGCTGACCTTAAGACTACGTTCCCGCAAATTCATGATCTTTCAATACACATCCCATTTGTTTCCTTTGGGAAATCTCCCAGACAACCATTAATTAAGAAGACATTGCAGCGGATTGCTACCTTAGTAAAGCCTTGACTTCAGTCTCAGAAACCTCCATGATAGATTCTCCTATTTATCGAGTCTTCCAGAAGAAAGAGCCGTATCACCCAAACATTTATTCACTCGATAAGGATAGCGAATCGTGCTCAAAAGGGAAAGCTAATCATACAAAATGGCCGAATTCAAAAAACAAATGCAGGCTTTCTATTGATCATTGGCTGTGCTTCTCCGCAACCAATCCGTGTGCGAGGTTGCACTGCCGCACATTAAGCCTAGTGTGCGCGCCTGAGAAGAAGTGTCCCACAACCCTTCCGTCGGTATGCTACGAGCAGCCTTCCTACTCCTCTATACCAATTGTCTTACTGCGTCGTCAGCTAGCTAGAAGAACTAGAATATTGTTCTCAAATTTGGTTTATATTTGAAGAATAACAAAAGTCCGGTCTCTAATGAATCCAAATACTACTATTTTATAAAACGAGTAATTTTTTATTTTAAGTGTTTATTTCTAATTTAAAAAGCATAAATCTGATAACGATTTCATTGATTATCACTATTAGGTTTGCATTTTCTGCTTATGAGTTGAGTTAAAATATTTTGATGATGAAATAAACGCTTATCACACGATCACAAATCCTCCAGTATTAATACCTTATTGTCTGAAAAGATTAGGGGAAATCGGAGTTAATGGATGACGAAGCAAACGGGAATAAAGCATACTTGGATCCAAATTTTGACAGTAACAATGGTAAAGAAGAATACTCAAATATAACTCGAGTACCACCTTCACCGCCAGGTAGATGCGAATCAATGGTTGATCCTTTACAACTATTTGGAGGTTTCGGAGACGTTAGAAGATCCGACTCGCCTATTTTTCCAGAATTTTATCCACCTAGACCAGATTCCAGCCAAAGACTTGATGGTGCAAACAGTGATAGAGATACAAATTTACAAGAGCCTGAAACTGCCGTACCAATTCAATGGGAAAGTAGCATAATGAAGCAAATTAATGCCTTGAACTATAAACCAATTGTAAGTGTAGTTCGATTTCAAACGTATTTAGTAAAAAATTTATTCTCTTCTGTCATGATATTTAATTATGGGATTAGAATTAGGGCTCTCACTTTCAAGCTGCACGAATCTTTCAACACAAAATAGAAAGGGCAATATGTGTAGTGGAATATCCATTTTATGGAGGAATTGAGGGAATTCGGTATTTTTGTAATGACAGTAGAAAAGTGACAAACAGATAAAATAACAGGACACTTAAAATAAATTGTTTTAATATAGTTGAAAAGATACTGAAAAGTCCTAGAACCTTTGAGTCCTCTCCTGGTGATTGGTTGCTGAGGCGGTCTCCACGTCTTCCTCCCCCTCTCCATCCTACTCATAATTCCTACCACTTTGCGATTGAGCAGTACTCATACCAGCTTAAAAGTTAGTCGAGGAAAGATTTTGGTGCTCCGAAACTCAGATCTCATCAATATGTAAATGTTATTTTTACTCCTACAATAGGTTCTACTTAAGGAGAAATGCATTTGAGCCTTTCACATTTGGCACTTATCTCATAACCTGAGTGTAAACAATCTGCACCTTGACAATAGGGGCAGAAACTAGCCTTTCAGCTTAACAAAAGCAGTGATCTGTACATAGCCTCGATTCGTGATAAATTGATGCATGGCCTCATCAAACTCCTTTTTATACTAATCAATGCAACCTCTTCATTTTTGTACGTTTTCATATTGCCACTATACCCTAGGGATTATTTTCCCGCTTTAGGAAGTATCGCCATATTCATAGGGATTCTAATCTAGTGTACTTTAACTTGTGCGTGTGATGTTTTGTATCAAGGTCTAAGCATATCCAACTCCGATTTCGCAAATTTTCACGGTACTAGCCCACAGAGGCTCATAACAGGACTGATGGAGACCAGCGTTTACCGACTTAAAATAATCTAAGCCACAGAATACGTTGAAACTGGTTTACAACTTAGGTAGTCGAACGGAAATAAGAGTAGATCAATGAGGAAGCCGAGGTGGAAATTCATTGAGACCATTGTCTAGTTCACATCAAATAGCCACCTGTTGCACTTTTTCTTGGTTAACATTTGTAGTCATTATGAAAATGGACTTTTCTTATCATCATTTATATTGTCCGCTCTTGCTGGTTCTTCTATTCTCCTTTTGTACACCTTATAGGTAATTCCTCCTACTTGTCTTGCCAAAATAATTACCCTTAATGGCTTCGAATATAAGCCTTCATGAATGACAAACTATCTTAACTTGGATTGTCATTGAAGTAATGGCAGCTTAGTTCAGCTAAAATAAATCCAGAATTAAATGCCTAGACTGAGTTGAGCAGTAAATAGCCGACCAAATCTCCTTCTTTTCTTCTTTTCTCCTAAATGCAGATTCTAAAGCTCGTATCTGCTAATATAGTGTAAAGTGGTTCCGAAGGAAACTTTACACCCATTCTAAACGAAGTTAGAAGTAAAAGATAAAGTAATCGAATGCCTTGGTATTTATTTGCTTTCTAGTTCGCTTTATAAAACTTAAATTTTGCAATTTATAACACGATAAATAGGACAAATTCGTGAGATCACGATATTCAGGGCCTAGAGACAGGTAAGTTAATATTTATGGTCAGTCTTAACATTTCACTTAATTATTCCTACCAAAAGTTGAAGGAGCATTATGATTCTATGAGATATTAACCAGCTTATATTATTTTAGCATGACAAAGACGAGACAGCAAAACTATAATTGGTGACATAAAAAGGAGTTCAATCAGGCATATATGTGAACACCTTGTGATTGTGGACATCATGACATTTATTTATATCAAATGATAGGCGTTTTGATAGTTATAATTAGCCCTTTAGTTGACTTCAGGCTTCACAGAGAGGAAAAAAACATCAAAGTGAAAGAAGTTGGGAGGGGGGGGGGACAGAGGAATGTTTCAAACATGTAAAAGAGACAGACACAAAGGCAGAAAAAAGGTAAGATGAGTACTGTGAAAGTGGTGGTATATGTCATAGTGTTGGGTCATAGTAGTTTGAAGTCAGAAGTCAACTGCCGGTTTATAGCTTTTTTTGTCGTATGAGCATATGCTGTCCAGGGTACACCACGTGGAGGTAAGTCTATCGCACACCCCGGACAACATGACATTTTAATTAGCCGATACCTCCGCATTGAACAGAAAAATATTGACTCTTCTTATTCAAATTTCGCTGTTGACTATGTAAGAATAATTATATTTTCGAATTCTGAGGAACAATACGAAGATGTGGGCTTCACAGACCCAACAGCAAACGTTCAAACAACTACTGTTGACAGTGCGCGAGACCCCACAAATACAACAAACTTTGAGGGTGATCATAGGAATCGTAGGCCTGCAACAATTCCCCAACCACATTCACTCCATTACAATACGACAGGGCAGTCTTCGAGGACTAATTTCCAAAGAAATCATGCCGCTTTCTCACCCAATACCTTATTTTCATGCCAAACTGCACTTAATTGGAGGAACTTCGAATCACACCTGAGAAATTTAATCCCCTTTACACACCGTCCACGGCCTTCAATAGTTTCTCATAACCATATTCTTAGATCAAATTCAAGTATACCTAATAATCGATGGACAGTCAGTGGAACAATTTTCCCTTCATCAGAATCTCCCTCGGTATTTTGGAATCCTCATGATCCAAGGGTAATTTAAACTGTTGCTTCATTTTGCTCAAATCCTAACTATTGTTTTCATTTAACTGGTTTCATAACCCTCAATTTTCAAATGGAAGAGTAAATCCGATTGATTACCAACACTTAGCTATTGGTTTTGAGTAGTCGAATTACATAGGTGTAATTTGCTACGAGTAATACCTGATCTTCTTGTTAACAAATTGTCGGAGCAATAGTTGAATTAGGTGTGACTTTACTGATCCAAATTCAAGAGCAGAAATTTAATTACATCTAATCCGGTATATGAGTTACGAAACAAAAGAGTTTCGCTCGAAAGCCCTAAAAGTATCCGTTTTCGCTTTCTTAGTCATTAGGTATGTAAGTTTACTCACCAAATTCTGAAAGTAAATCTTCGTTAAAATCCCAGAACTACCCTTAATAGACCCAACAGGTACGACTTATTACTTAACTCTTATCTGATTTTCTCCATGTTTATCTAATTACAAAGCTAACAGGAGTCAGAAAAATACAATAAGTAAGCAATGACTCTATAATCTATGTATTATTCATAATATATGCGGATTTCCTTGGGGTCTTGATCGAGGTGAATTAATTACTACTTTGTGCTAGCCTTCTGCTATGACCTTACATGGAATCTGATTATCTGGCTAAAGAAAAAATTGAAGGCTTTTCATAACAACTCGAAGACGAAGTCTATATTAAAGCATGGGAAAGCGATTTCCAAGAGAAATTCGTTTGCCCAATTATTCGCATATTACGACCACACGTGAACATAATCCTACAATAACTTCGCTTGTAGCATCTAAGTAAGTCTCGAGTCGTCTTTTATCAACCAACGCTGCAAATACTATGCGGAATATACATTAAGGAAACTACTGATTAAATTTAAATTATGGTCTGCTGAACTAAAGTGTTTGAATTTTTCTCCTGTTAGAATATTTGGCCACAAGGAAATATGCAGTGTTACACAGCACCATCTAATCAAAATATCAACATCGAAAGTGCGCAAATGTACTCGAATGTTTTTGAAATGGATAGACGTGGTACTGGCGCATCAACTTCTTTCTGCTATCAGAATCAATTTCAACCTCACGGTTGGACATATCCGCGGATGCCGGTTAATCATTCTCAACTACCCCAAGCCCCCTCATATGGTAATTCTGGTTTCATTCAAAGAACTCCCAATCTGGAGTATTCAGGTGCAATTCCATTTATTCATTCAACGGATAATATCTCAGGGGGTCCTCAACCAAGTACATTTTATTGGAATCGGATCTCGTATGAAAACCACTGGAAGAACAGTCAAGGACAAAATCAACCCCCGTATTATCCAAATCCATAGGTTCGTTCTATTCAAGCAACAATAAATACTAAGTTTATTTTCATTTAAAATAATAGAAGTTAACAGAGGGAAGGAGGAAGGAGTCAATAACAATTCACCTTTGGTCGAATTCTAAATAAAAGCGAAAATGGTTTCCAGCTAATTTCCAAAACTGTTGTCAACGAGCACGACTTCATATTCAGTTGGCAGGAGATCATTATCTATCGATCCACATTCAATGAGGTAAATGAACACCCGCGCTGGTCGATTCTGATAACGAGGGAAGTTGTAGAAAGTACATTTGTTGTAGCAGTCACTACAGAACAGCTTTCACTGGCCTAAGTCAAATGTATTGGGCATTTCTTCGAGTGGATGGGTTATGCTTTTCCCTGAACAGATCAACAGTAGGGTAGATCACCCGTTAAATTCTGCCCGACAGAATAGATACCTACCCGTTCAGTTATGTAAATCATTAATTGCGCGGATTAATATTTTGTCAATAAGAGGAGCCGTAAGAAGGGGACATGTGGCGCTTCCCTTTTATTTCCTTTTAAGGATATTTTCGCGCTAAAAAGCACATATATATTGATATAAAATCCTTAAGAATGGGTTAACGTAATCATTTCAATTAATTTTGGTCATAAAATTGCGGCTACGAAATAACTTACTTCCTTAACGTTTTCGTGCAAAGATGCTATTTTCTGATCTCATTATGCTAAATTTTTAAAGCCGGTGACTTTGGTTGGGTGAAGTCCATTATTAGCCAGTCTCACTGACCACTGCATTGCTGGTACACGATATATTTGCTTGGAATTTCCCAAACTTCATAATAATCACTCGTGTTCTCTAAGTATGCATTACCGTTCTTGCTATTCTTCGTCCGTGCTTTTGTATTGACCTTTCACAGTCTGCTCATGAACAGATGCCTTCCTAGATTTGACGTGTGTCAGTGGATTTACCAGCTTCTGAACACTTTTATTACACACTAAAAGCTAATCCGTAGGGCCTTCACACGTGAAGTTCGAAGGTTGGGAAATGATTACCGAAACTCTAGCGTTTTCTAATTTTCTTTGACTTGATGTCGCAAGCATTTTCCATTTTCCTCCATTTTTTGAAGCAGCCATCTTCACATAAGGTGACACGTATCCTAGCGTTAAACAATCCTTTCAGCAGACGGAATTCCTATGCAGTTTTGAATTTGCATTTACACTAACTTTGATAGCAATTAGACCCAGAACAATGGTGATGTTGTCAGTACTCGGATGGCCAATATTAATAATTTTTCGACTTTTCCAGGCACGCTAATGTTTGAATTTTCAAGGAAATTAAACTACCACCTGGTTATAAGTATTTGGAAGTTATCAGTTTCTCGCCATTTCCAAAAGATGGGAATAGGGTGGAAATGGCTGTTTAGTTTTACTTAATACACCTTAGAAATTAGCTACCTGTCCTAGGCTTATACGAATTATTATTAGTCTAGACACTTGCTTAGCATATTTTGAATTAGTTTAATCAACAGATGTAATGCTTTAAGGACGTCAGTTTATGGAAGTCTCAAGTCCATCGGACTTCTACATATTTGGGCACAATATTCCACCAAATTCCAAAGAACATCTTGAATTACTCGGACACCTTCTGACTCAGGCCTCATCAGTGTACAGAAAGTGCAACCTCGTCCAACCACTTGTTCCTCACTCCCTTCTAACGTCTCCTTTTACTTCCCTATTTATTCTCCTACTCTTTCTTCCTTTATAAATTTTTAAAATAAACCAGTGGTCCTCCTTAACTATGGTTCTTTTAACCCTGCATGGGCAAATAGATCCTGTTAGCTTTGAGAAGGTCATCAAGCTGTCTGCTGTAAAGTATATTACCTTAAGCCCACCATTATGGAGGATACAACGGCCTTCATGGCCCCAGGAGAGAAAAGATGAAAATATCCAGACAAGGAAAACCGCTTTCCGGACATCTAGTAACATGATTAAGAACATATTTACATATGGGGCTTTAAATTGTGATCGTGTGGTATTGAAATGTCATTTTCGGTGCATGACAATGAATTGCCCTCCCCCCCCCCCCTAGGGTAATCACTTTAAACTTTTTAAGATAATACACCAACTCTTTCAACAACTTCTAAAATTTTGACGATATCAGCTCTGCCGTCTTAAAACCGTGAAGGCTGTTTAATATATCCAGTACTATTATTTCAATTTTTAAAAAGTAACTTATGTAACCATTGCGGGATGTGGGATAGACTTACCTCCTCGTGGTGCATCCTGGGCAACGTATGTTATATTAGACTACTTCCACTGTACTCATCTCACCTTTTCTCTACCTTTGTGTCTGGCACTTTTAAATTTGCGAATAACTCTTCTGTTCGCGCTCTCCACCTTTGTGACTTTGCTGTTCTTCCTTCTGTGAAGCCCGAAGTCAGCTAAAGAGCTAATGATAACTAAGTGAAGCCCGAAGTCAGCTAAAGAGCTAATGATAACTATCACAAAGCTTGCCATTTGATATCAATACATACCAACTAACAAGATATCTCGCTGTTACGACAATAACTTATTCTTGTTCAAAAGGAGTTTTTATAGCAGTCTATTTCATATAGATTCCCTTAAAAACACATGAGTTTATAATTCCTTTAATAATAATGCGAATTTAATATTTGGCAAATTGTTTCACCTTGAAAAGGGCATATCGACCTATCAGCTCAATCTGCTCTATTTATTGGGAGCCTAATGCATTAAATGGTGGACCACAATGCAGAGGAAGTCATATAAAGGCAAATTGATTGCCCTTAACCTCCGCCTCTAGATTTAATAGCTAAAGAAGGCGATTAATGAATCATGCCTTTTAATTCATCAGTTCTTGATTTTACCTGTGGGTTCCTCGAATTTCATGACCTTTTATCCCCATTCACATAAATACAGATTCTAATGTCCATTATTTCCCATTAATTACTATTTAAATGATCATTTTCTTCTACAACGACTTCTAGCAAATGCCAGACTCATCTCAGAGATAAAAAGTCAAACGAATGCAAGTGGTACAGAATGTATTTTCTACATAACCAAAGCAAAAATGATAATAAGTTAAAACCCAAAATAAGACGCCCAAATAAAGAAGAACGACATTCACTTCTTCTCCTCAACCTTTGTCTCATTCACGACAGGAAGGGCGACAGGTTGTCTACTTGGTGCCTTCTGAGTTCTCCTCGATCTATTTCCAGTAGGTTTGGTGAGCACGGGTTGGTAGGGCACTATTTTATTCACTGTACCTACAAATTAGACAAATGGTACAATTATACCTACTTAAATGATTTCAATATTAGATAAACTCAAATGTCGAAACGGACCAACTGCCTTGGTTTTGCCTTCACGGAAAATTAAACGAACACCTGGTCGAAGGTACTCAGGATGACTGATGAAAGCAAAGTGGACTTCAGCTTTATCTCCAGTTCTAAGACGCTCCTCGCCACTTCCAGCTCCTATACTAAGGATTGTAGCCGTCTGTCGAATAGGTCCAGCATGAACCATCGCTTGATAACCTACACTTATCGTGGTAGGGTGATGGAGAACTAATACAGTCGCAGTGAAATGCATACAACAGGTGAGATCCATGCCTTTATCCAAAAGAACCATCCCCTGGAAGGATAAGTAGGACATAATAATATTTAATGATTCGCTACTTCTATTTTTATGCGAAATAACTCACTCGTCGGAGTTCATTGAAATGTTTAGGTCTCTTGAGTGAAAATGATGCTGTTTGTCCAGCGCGAACGCTATTAACAGGTAGGCGCTTTCTGTGAATACTCTTTACAAGGACTTGGAAGAATCGACCAGTAGTATCAGGTCCTAAATGCAAGGTATCGTTTACCTTGATTATTCCACTCATACATGTTCCGGAAACTATGGATCCAACACCTTGAACTGTGAACAGCTCGTCGATTTGAAAGGAAGCTGGTAAATCCAATCTGTAGTTAACATTTGGATCAGATGAACTCTCAGGGCTTGGAGTTAGTGGTGTTGCTTGAAAATCAGCAGGAGCTGGCGCAGATAAGAGATTCAGGAAAGATTTCAGGTACTCTAAGTTTGCCCCCGTGACGTTTGATATTAGGAAAACGGGACACATTCGTTCTGAAGTAAAGTTAATTGCACTACAAACGACGTCGTCCCTGAAATAAGCCAATTAAAGTTAAGGAATAGAAATGCTGAAGTAGCTAGTGTCGCTGGGACCTGAATTGGAAACTTACTGAGAAGAAACTAATAGAGGTATTTTTCTGCAACCAGGAGACTTCAAGATACGAAAGAGTAGATTTAGGGTCTCGCTCAAGATATTGGGCGGACACATATCAATTTTGGTGACAACCACAAAGACAGGCACAGAGAGGGCAAGAGCCAATCCCAGATGCTCCTTGGTCATTCCGATTATACCAGCATTTGCACCAATCATAAGCATCACGAAGTCGGGTGCGAATCCAGTTAGACCATAGACTGTTGTTTTTAGGTATCGTTCGTGACCAGCCAAGTCAATAAAGGTTATTACCTATAAGGAAGAAGTAAATAATCCCTATTCATTAAGGAATCAGCACCTGGAAGAATACTAATTTAATGAATAACTTAACATTACAGTCCATTTTCATCAACAAATGAAGTTAAAGTAAAATCACATTAATACCTATGTAGGATTGGCGACCGAAATTTCGAAAATATTATAACTTTCTAATACATAAAAACAACCTATAAACAAATACCATTACTACTTGCAACTTATGATGCAATAGCTCATGATCAGAACTTAAAATTACAAGGGCAGAGAATCATACAGAAGTTAAGGAGGTTGATAAACAGCTTTACTGTCATTCACAAGATGATTCATTAGCATGAAAACCAGGGCTGAGGGTACAAGATTTTTAAACCAGACAAAATGCCTTAGTGCAGAAGTTAGAATTCAATAAAAAGTTAATTATGAAAATGCAGATTCCCTCTTATATAATAATTATTCAAGGGGAATTGGTCGTGGATATTTAGCTTTCTAACTAATTCTGCAGACAATTAAAACGTTTTTAAGTTATATATGTGTGTGAGTGAAGTTAAGCTTTAAAACAATAGATGGGAAAAATACCAGTTCCTCCACGAAATTAAATAAACATAAAAGGACAAACATCTCCGAAATTCCGAACTGAGGACTTGCCAAGGCCATAGTAAGATCTGGTTTAAGAACGTAACTGACATGGAAAAAGCAGAAGCATGAAATAAACCTCAACTCCCCAAACAAAGTGGATTTGAAAACACGCACTTCCTACCTCACTTAGAAATGTACACAAGAATACTTCCCCATTGACTTATAATAGTCAAAATACCATGGCACGACTGCTTGTCATATTCGACCGCTTCCACAGTACTCATCTTACCCTTTTCTCTGCCTTTGTGTCTGTCTGCCTCTTTTACATCTGTGAATCGCTCTTCTGTTCCCCACACCTCGACTTTCTGCTACTTTGATGAACCTTCCCTCTGTGAACCCCGAAGTCAATTAAAGGGCTAATGATAGCTATCAAAACGTCTGCCATTTGAAACAAATAATAGTAGTCAAGGCAACTAAATGAACTAAGTAAATGTTTTCACTGGAATTTTTGGAAATTAATTATCCAAACTTTATGACTGGGAGGTTGATGTGAAGCACTTTCTGTGATATGGAAAAATATTTGGGCAAAAACCCAAATGTATGTTTAGTCACGTGAAAACGGCCTTGACCCCTCTATCCCTCATAGGTTGGAGGTAGAAGTAAACAAATAAATAAGCAACCTTGCAGAGGCCTAATAAAATTTTAGTACGGAATTTCTGCCTATGAGACTACTAAGCTGATGACAATTGCATTAGAGCAATTTTACGGAAATAGAAATATAACGAACACAAATAATTAATGCCAAACTTTAAACAAGATTATAATTAAACAAACTGGGATCATTTAATGATAGAAT